TTCTCCGCCCCTTTCTCTTTGCCAGAATTCAACTGAGAGAAAATGTGGGCAATGCTGCCCTAGCAAAGGAAAAACCACTCTCGCAAGGAGAAAGAGGCGGAGAAAGGGGCGGGGCGAGAGGCGGAGTCTCATGAGTCAGGGACATGCTAGCAAGGTTTTCTCCCGCAGGAACAGAGTTTGCGACGGGTCTTATGCAGGAGACAAGGAGGAGCTGACTTCCCTAGATCTAGACACTAGACTCCTATTGAGGCCGTTGGATTTTTTTCCGCCGCATCACATTTTTGGTTCATGTTTAACTTGTTGTCCACGAGGACTCCAAGATCTTTTTCACACATCCTCCTTTCAGTATCTTTGCATTTTATTTTTTCTGCCTAAGTGGAGTATCTTGCATTTGTCACTGTTGGACTTCATTTTGTTAGTTTTGGCCCAATAAAAAGAACCTATGCATTAACTTTTACACAAAAAATGTCATTGAACATACAGACATACAGATTCTATACAAACAACAACAACTTTATTTTTGTACCCCGCCTCCATCTCCCCGAAGGGACTCAGGGCGGCTTACATGGAGCCAAGCCCAATCAACACAGTTAAAAACGCATTAAAAAGCAAACAACAGTGAGAAACAGGCATCAAAACAACAACCAATAACAAATTAATTTTATCATCATGGACGGGTGGACTGGTGTAATAATAATTTAAAAGATAGGCTAGTAGCAAGCGTGACTGCCAGAGACGAGAGACAGGGCCTTCTCGGTGGTGGCCCCTGTCCGTGGAATGCACCCCCCAGTGAAATCAGGGCGACTCCATCTCTCCTCTCCTTCTGGAAAAAACTCAAGCCTTGGCTCTGGGACCAAGCATTCGGGCAGCTGGCTGAGCAACAGCTGTAATGACTCGTGAGAATTCTCAATGGAGAGACCTTGGACTGGACCTCTGGACTGTGATTTGGATTCTCAGACTCAGACTTGGCTGTGTTAATATTTTAAGGAACACAACGTATTATGTTATTGTTGTTGAAACTTCAGATATGATGTCATATGACAGGTTTATTACTTAGAAACACAATATAGAGGAAATTTGTGGGACATTATGATTCATTCGGATTTTATAACATGGAAGACAGACCCCCCAAGAAACAATTAAGGAAAACTTTGCATGCAGGCATTGTGACTGCTGTAGCCAAATGTTAAACACAAAATATTTCACACGTCTGACTTGTAATATCACAGTTTCCCTACAAGATCATACAACATGCTCTTCAGAGAAGGTAATATATGCAATTCAATGTCCCTGCAACCTATTGTACATTGGGATGACCACCAGGCCCCTGAGAACTAGAATGTATGAACACCGTTCTCGGATTAAGAATGGGAATACTGACTCCACCTTATATATGCACTTTAGGGAAAGGGCACACTCAAGTTACAGTTTCAGGTTCTGTGCTTTGGAAAAACTACACACCAGACCTCATTTAGATATGAAGAAACTACTTCTCCAAAGAGTAGCTTTCTAGGCTTTTAAATTTCTAACCCTGGTCCCTCAGGGCCTTAATGACAAACTTGATGTCACTTGTTATCTGTAACATGGATGTAAGGCCCATCAGGATTTGCTCGCAACAGAATCTCCTGCTGCAGAGCCTGTGTTTACTTAATGAAATGTAAGTCATGTGAACATTACTTTGACTATCTTGTATTAGTTATGTATTGATTTAATGTTAACATAATAATAGTGGTGCTATAGCATATCTATTTTATGTATGTTGTTCTTCTTTTCATACTTGTAATTGTAGTATCAGAGACTTGTTTCCAGTTGAAATATTAAGAAGAATTCATTACCTGAAGAGGGTATTTTCATCATCAACACCTTAAACAAGGAACTACACCTGGGATATTTTGTTGTAACCTGGCCACCGTGTAGAACTGTTCTCTGACACAACCTTGGATGCCACAAATAGTCCTTCAAAAACATCTACAAGTGATTCTTTCAATCATCAGACAGATTGGACTATTATGTTTATCTAAATGAATATGGACATTTATCATTGATTAAGAGAAGTTGTTCCTCTATATTGTGTTTATAAGTAATAAACTTGTCATATGACATATTTGAAGTTTCAACAACAATAACATAATACTTTGTGTATCTTAGTAATCGATATTTGTGTTCTATATATTGCTTAATATTTTAAGGGCTATAACAACCACACCACCCACCAGCAGCGAGGAAATAGAAGAAAAGAGTAAGATTTTTAATGAAATTATTGAGACAGGGGAATCTATATAAAATAATTCCCAAACGTTCTTTGTTCAGCCAAAATTATGAAGCGCACAAAAGGTAGAGGAAGTATGGTTGCCGAACTATACTTCCTTACTTAAAAGTGAGGAACTGGGAACCACTGGAACTGAGAGTTTTAAAAAGATTTCCACTGCCACCATCTTACTACTATTCAAACTATTATTCAAACAGGCTGAGGTTATATTGAGAGATTGCTCTGTGACCCACACTGTGTCACTATAGGTTCTGAAAAGCTGCTGTGAAGCTGTCCTTTGTAATGCTTTGACCACAAAGGTATTCACACTGAGGCTGGTATAAGTTGATAAAAATAACAAGAACGTTTATTGAACAGGCTTGAATTATTCAGGTACAAATGCTTATTAGTTTCCGTAAAATACTGGCATAAAAGCTTATGGTTACATTAGAGTAAAGATCTTAAAAACTTCTGGGTTAAAAGTCTTAAAAGTTCCACCACAGAACATTACTTCAGGAAATGAATCTCTGATAGTAACTTCCAAATATGTAACTTAGAAATCTAGCCAAAAACCCTGAACTAGACTTCCTTAGGAATTGAACAGACCACTAACGGGGTGCTGCTCCTACAAACCCAGTTTTCTAGCTATCTACTCAATAGCTCTTCTGAATACTACACAAAAGACTAACCCTAATCTTCTTCAAACCCAAACTCCGCCTCACTAACACTATCACTACTTCTCTCTAACAGCTCCAAACCCTAACTCGCAAACTGGGACCTCAAGCCTCAGTTTAAAAGAGACATTATTCCTCTAAACCACTTAGGCTCTGACCCCATCTTTCTAACCAATCCTAGCCTTCTAACTTTCCCTCCAAGACTTGAACATGCCCCCTTAATGCAAAACCTAACCTAAAATGGCTTCTCCTTGTTTCCCTTTCCTAAAATGGATGCTGTGGCTTCGGCAGGCCCACTCCCTTAGGCCCCAGGCAGCTAGCCAATGTAAGGGATTCATTACAAGAGCATTATTTTTAATGTATTTTCAATGTGTTTTTACTGTTGTTGACCTGTTTATGTTAATCGCTGTGCCGTAATAGTTCTTTGTCGGCATCTAATGATTGCCAATTGTAAGCCGCCCTGAGTCCCCCCCCCCCTTGGGGGGGGGGGTTGAGAAGGATGGGATATCAATGTTTTCAGTAAATAAATAAATAAACTGCATAGGTCCAATGGCAGCAATAAGGTGCGAGGTCCTAGCTGGGGCCAACTACCTAAGGAATTGTCTACACAGCAGAACATCCACGTCTTTAACTTGCCTGATTTCCCTGGGGAGGGAATTCCAGAGCCGGGGGGCCACATCCAAGAAGGCCCTCTCCCTCATCCTCACCAGTCGTGCCTGAGATGGGGGTGGAAGCAAGAGAGGTTCCTAGAGGAAGATCGTGTAGGTTCGTAGTGGTCACAAAGATAGGCAGCTCCTACATTAGATTCACAAAGAACTTACAGTTACATTGGCTCATCAGATAAATAAAGGGGAATTACATTTTCAATCACCATTCACACACATGTGCATGCATCCATCACCATGCATCCAGATATTACCATATCCTTTACTCCTTCCTTGGAGATACACCTGTTGAGGCCAGGCCCTGCTTCCCTGCAACCTGCCAGCACACAGTTCCAAAACTTCCCTAACTTCAAAACGTCATTCCCTAAGCACAATGCCAAGGACCAGATCCCTGTTTTCCATACAGCAGAACCTGATTCCTTGCACAAAATCCAAGACTCCAAAGGCACACTTCTTCCTCTTCCTTTGAGAGAGAAGGGCAAAGTGACCAGACCGCTCCCTTGCAAATCTGCCACTCTCCGAATACATCATCTCTCTCCTTCCCATGGAGCAGAGCATGGCGGATGAACCAGACTCCTCGGGTGTGTCACAATTTGAGCATTATTAGACAATTTTTCACCCTTTAGCAGACCTTTAACTGGCAGCTGGGGGAGAAATATCCCTGAACGAGGCATGTTTTTAATAATGTTTTGTTGAAGGCTTTCATGGCCGGAATCACTGGGTTGCTGTACATTTTTTGGTTGTCTGGACATGTTCCAGCAGCATTCTCCCCTGAAGTTTTGGCTGCACCTGTGCTAATGGCACCTTCAGAGGTCCTCTTGGCAGCGGAGAAAGTGGTGTATATATTCCTGTGGAATCATATCCAGGGTGGGAGAAAGAACCCTTGTCTATTTGAAGCAAGTGTAAATGTTGCAATGAGCAAGCTTGAATTAGCATTGGAGTAGCCATGAAGTCTGCAGTCAATCAGTGAGGATATCTGCAGAGAGGCGGCCTGGCCTCGGTTGCCTGGAGGTACCCTCTGTTTGGGAGGTGTTAACTGGCACCTGATAGCTTGCTGTCTGGAGTTTTCCTGTTTCTGAGTGCTGGACACAGAATCTTATTTGAAAACGCAGAAATGCTGGGCCATTCACACCTGCTTCAAGCAGACAAGGGTTCTTTCTTTCACCCTGGACATTATTCCACAGGGATAGAGACAGTCCACTTGCTTCATTGTCCAACAGAACCTCTGAAGACCCTGATGTTTGCATTTCTGGGTGTTTCCATTTTCAACATGACCCATGAAGGGAAAGTTTGAAATTGTGGAGGTAAAGGAAGTTTCTCGCCTTCATCTTTGATCTTTTACTTCTTTCTTAACCAGGGAAATGAGGATTCTATGGAGCCCCCCCCCCCCCCCCCCCCCCCCCCCACCTTGGATGCAGCAATGACATCAATAATATAAGAAGAAGAACTTCTCTCTCGGTGATGGACTTGCTGAAATCTTGATCTCGCATACAGACAAGGAAGGAAAAAAGAAGACTGAAGCTTCTGTATTGCAATCAAACACCCATAAAATGGCTGACATGAAGGAGAAAGCATTTATATGCCTGGAATGTGGGAAGTGTTTCACTCAAAGGAGTGATCTGAAGCGACATCAAAGGACTCACACGGGGGAGAAACCCTATACATGCCTGGAGTGTGGAAAGAGCTTTTCTGAGAGTTCAGTTCTACATAGACATCAAAGGACTCACACGGGGGAGAAACCCTATACATGCCTGGAGTGTGGAAAGAGCTTCACTCATAGTGGAAGTCTACATAAACACCAAAGGATTCACACTGGGGAGAAACCCTATACATGTCTGGAGTGTGGACAGAGCTTCTCTACGAGTGGAAATCTACATACACACCAAAGGATTCACACTGGGGAGAAATCTTATACTTGCCTGGAGTGTGGAAAGAGCTTCACTCATAGTTCAGATCTACATAAACATCAAAGGATTCACAGGGGGGAGAAACCCTATAAATGCCTGGAGTGTGGAAAAAATTTCACTCAGAGTGGAAGTCTACATTCACATCAAAGGATTCATACTGGGGAGAAACCCTATAAATGCCTGGAGTGTGGAAAAAGCTTCACTGAGAGTGGAAGGATACGTTCACATCAAAGGATTCACACTGGGGAAAAACCTTATACATGCCTGGAGTGTGGAAAGAGCTTTGCTCTGAGTTCAGTTCTACGAATACATCAAAGGATTCACACTGGGGAGAAACCATATACATGCCTGGTGTGTGGCCAGAACTTCACTCGGAGTGGAAGTCTACGTTCACATCAAAGGACTCACACTGGGGAGAAACCCTATACATGCCTGGAGTGTGGGCAGAGCTTCACTACGAGTGGAAGTCTACGTTCACATCAAAGGACTCACACTAGGGAGAAACCCTGTAAATGCCTGGAGTGTGGGCAGAGCTTCACTAAAAGTGGAAATCTACATAGACACCAAAGGATTCACACTGGGGAGAAATCCTATACATGCCTGGAGTGTGGAAAGAGCTTCGCTGAGAGTGGAAATCTACGTTCACATCGAAGGATTCACACTGGGGAGAAACCCTATACATGCCTGGAGTGTGGAAAGAGCTTCACTCATCAATCAGGTCTATGCTCACACGAAAGGACTCACACTGGGGAGAAACCCTATACATGCCTGGAGTGTGGAAAGAGCTTTGCTCTGAGTTCAGCTCTACGATTACATCAAAGGATTCACACTGGGGAGAAACCCTATACATGCCTGGAGTGTGGAAAGAGCTTTGCTCTGAGTTCAGGTCTACGATTACATCGAAGGATTCACACTGGGGAGAAACCCTATACATGCCTGGAGTGTGGGCAGAGCTTTACTAAGAGTGGAAGTCTACATAGACACAGAATCCACACTGGAGAGAACTGTGGTGTTTGACCCCAAAGAGAGTTTCCCAGATACAGCTTTCCAGACTTTTCATGTTGGTGAAACACTTTTCAGACATGCATCTTTTTCTGACACAGTAATTTAGCTGAACTAGCAAACCAGAGGTTAAACAACCTCATATAAGATATTAAATATAATACTATATTATGTAATACTACCCAGCCACGTGTTGCTGTGGCCCATTTTTGAGAAATGGGAAAGAAAGAAAAGAGGAAGAGCTGGTTTCCAAGCTATCAATACACAACGGAAGTGGCAGGGAAAGGAAAGGGAAGGGAAAGGAAGGAAAGGGAGGGGGTGGACCTGGAGGAGGGTGTCCCCTCTCTCTCTCTCCCTCCTTCCCTCCCTCTCTCTCTCTGAATCCTTTGGGAAGAGAGGGGCAGGGGGTAGCAAGAGGAATATATGGGCCACCTTTCCCTCCCTCTCTCAAGCCACCTCTCTCTCAGCTGCTGATTTTCCCCCCCTCGTACAGGAGGGAGGGGCGGGGGAGGGTGTTCTTTTAATGCATGCTCTGAATAGTAATTTAGTTTTTTGGGGTTTAAAGTTCTTTCCACTTAATGATTTATTTATTTATTTGCTTTTTTGAGTGGACATACATTGCTTTGGTTGGTGTCTTGTGTCCAAATTTGGTGTCAGTTTGTCCAGTGGTTTTTGAGTTCTGTTAATCCCACAAACAAACATTACATTTTAACTTATATATAGATAATAATATATAGAGAGACATTAGACATGAGATACAGCTGTTATCCTAGAGCTGTCAGTATACAGAACCTTGCCCTGTGATGAATTATGATGAACTGTGACTACGAGTATGAATATGACCATGACTGGATTGACGATTTGGTTTAGGTAATTGTAATGATGATATTTTATTGTACTGTATTTACTATTTTAATATGTAATGATTTTGCACTTGTTGTTCTTTATATGATTGTATTTTATATATGCTGTAAACCAACCTGAGGTCCTCGTTGAGGCGAGAAGGCCGGCATAGAAAATTTCTAAATAAATAAATAAATAAACTCCGCGATTTTGCATTGATGTTGCATTGGGGGCTGTGTGGGGGTGGTTTGGGTGTGGAGGGGCAAGTGTGTTGGTTTTGTGATGTGTGCTAAGGAAAGCATAGTGATAGTGAAAAGAATGTACTAATTGGCAAGGCAAGGAAAGACCAGACACTCTTTGATAGGAAAAGTCAAATCAATCAACATTTCCACCTGGAAGTGGGGAGAAGATGGTCTGAAAGATTAAGAGAAAAAGGGGGTCAGGGAGAGGTTTCCCAAGGGAAACGGAATGCTTTTGCTATGGCTTTCTGAATAAATATAGGGCCTGTGAATCTATACTCTTCAGTGAGTTCAACGTTTGGTTTTCATGTGTAACCATGCCATTTGTTTCATGCCTGGTATCCATGCCATCTTGTTCATGCTAAGATTCCTGTTTACTTCTGCCCGAGATTCATGTTCATGCTGAGATTCTTGTATGTGGTTGGCCCTGGTTTCAAGCTCCTGCATTGGGATGTAATGGTTCAAGTTTGCTGCTGTTTCTTCAAGGGACTTTGGTCTTTGCAACCTTTTGGAACTGAAAGACTCTAACTCCTGTGGACTTGTTGATTGGATTTTTGCAACCCTCCTGGTTCCTGACTGATAATTGACTGTCTTATTTTACTTTGCTCAACTGACTGTTTTGTGGACATTTCTTTATTAGTTGTTTGAATGCTTTTTACCTTTTTTGGCTGTTGCTATATTAATCCTCAATAAATTGCTTTGCTATAAAGAACATTGGTGTGAGTCGCCTCTGGCTGAGAAAGGTGGTATACAAGTGCGCTAAATAAATAAATAAATAATTAAATATGGATTCAAAGGTGCCAACCCCAGCCTTGGTGTGCAACAGTGGCTGTAGAGCCCTATTCTTGAACTGCATGTTCTCCCTCCTGATGCTGCTCCTTCCTCTTGGCACGTATCTCCCTTTTGCCCTCCACTTGTGCCTCTTTGAATTCTGCAGCACTGGTGGTCACAGCTGCTCAAGGGCCACGACTTCCCAGTTCTTGGTGTCGATGCCACAGTTTTTAAGGTTGGCTTTAAATCTCTTTTCCTGTCCCCCAGCATTATGTTTCTCATTCTCAAATTTATAGTTTTTAAACTCTGGGTGTCCGGTGTCAGACGTAATGCTGCATAATGCTATGCAAGAGTTAAAGGCATAGAGTGATGGACTGCCTAGAGAGTGAACTGTGAGCTTTTCCTGTATATGTCACACATTCCAATGATGTGGATTTTTTGATAATAGACTGCTGGGTGTTCTCTTCCAATCATGCCGGGGAAGGAGCAAGACGCATGTGTCATTTCTCCTGTACAAAGTTTATTTATTTATTTATTTATTTATTTAGAGTTTTTGTATACCGGTCTTTTCTACCTCCTAAGAGGGACTCAGGCTGGTTTACAGCATGAAATTCAAATACAATAATAAGATACAAAACATCTTCATAATACAATAAAACAAGTTCATTAAAATACAATCATAAACATTACACAGGTCAGGTCGTCAGGTGAAATCATTTATTTATTATTTTTCTGTAGCTTTTAGAATGTAACTAAATAAAAGTGCCACTTCAAGGATTTGAAGTTGACAAAGGACTGCGCACTTTGTTTTAATTGCGTGTCTCATTGCAGTTGCACTGAGGCCGAATTATATTGACAAAGGTTATGGGCACATAGCATTACCGAAATTCAAAGCATACACTGCAATTAAATAAATACAATACAGAGTACAATATACACATGCACAAATTCCAAAGGCCCTTCTTCATAACTGGTCAGTTATTAAAAGTTGAAGTTGGACACAGGACTGCACACTATGTTTTCATTGCATGCCTCAATGCAGTTGCACTGAGGCCAAATTTTATTGACAATATATACAACCTTGAGAACACTTGCGTTGAGTCACACAATATATTTTGAGAGGGATTCAAATGGTATTTAGGTGTCCACGTGGAGGATCCTCTTCCTGCAGCTCATGAAGCAAGAAATCTCTCTCTCTGTAAGCTCCTGCACAGATAAAGCCCAAGTATGTAACTGTTGCCAAAACTCCCAGGCTCAGCTAGCTCCTTGGGTGTTGCCCAAGCAATCAGATCCGTGCTTTGCATTTCCGGTTAACACAGTCATCAATTGATTTTTTCCATGTCCTAACATGTTATAGACCAGTGGTTCTCAACCTTCCTCATGCCGCGACCCCTTAATACAGTTTCTTATGTTGTGGTGACCCCCAAACATAAAATTATTTTCGTTATTACTTCATAACTGGAATTTTTCTACTGTTACAAATCTTGAAAATAAATATCTAATATTCAGGATGTATTTTCATTCACTGGACCAAATTTGGCACAAAAACTCGATACGCCCAAATTTGAATACTGGTGGGATTGGGGGGACGGGACGATAATGATTTTGTGATTTGGGAGTTGTAGTTGCTGGGATTTATAGTTCACCTACAATCGAAAGAGCATTCTGAACTCCACCAACGATGGTATTGAACCAAACTTGCCACACAGAACTCCCATAACCAATAGAAAATACTGAAAGAGTTTGGTGGGCATTGACCTTGAGTTTTGGAGTTGTAGTTCACTTACATCCAGAGGGCACAGTGGACTCAAACAATGATAGATCTGGAACAAACTTGGCATGAATACTCAATATGCCCAAATGTGAACACTGGTGGAGCTTTGGGAAAATTGACCTTGACATTTGGGAGTTGTAGTTGCTGGGATTTATAATTCATCTACAATCAAAGAGCATTCTGAACCCCACCAATGATAGAATTCGGCCAAACTTCCCACACAGAAACCCCCATGACCAACAGAAAATTGTGGAGAGCTTTGGGATGAATTGACAGTGATTTAGGGGAGATGTAGTTCACCTACATCCACAGAGCACTGTGAATCCAAATGACTATGCCAAAGGGATTCCTAAGACCACCAGAAATGTGTTTTCGGATGGTCTTTGGTGACCCCTCTGAAACCCCCTGGTGACGCCCCCAGGGGTCCCGACCCCCAGGTTGAGAAACACTGTTATAGACGGATCACTCTGACCTTTCGAACCAGGAAGGAGATTAACTCCTTCCATACCTTTTTGCAGCATCACCTCCCTGCTAATCACGATCCTATATTACCCATCCCCAAACTGCCAGGCATTCTATAGACTAACCACCACCAACTGCTAGGCGTGCCACTCTACCAACCACCGTCAACAGCGGGACATGACACCTGGGTTCAGTCCCAACGTGTCCTGTTACGGTAAGTCCTTGCAGGACACAAGTATATGTGTGAAGAAAAACCTTATTGTTTGTAATTATTTTGTTCAGCTGACTAAGTAGGTCAAGCAGCAATCTTGTGCCACACCCAAGGGGCTATAACGTGTGAGTTTTTTGAATACAGTGTGGTGGGTGCAGGGGCGGCTCATCCCATTACGCATAAGCATTTGCAGTATAGTTGATTTTGCCCAGGGGCACACTTGAGGCGCCTCCATAAATGCCCCAGTCCTGCTCGCACAGCAGTGGTTAGCTGAACTTCTCACCATATATTTTCCTTCCTTCCTTGCTATCGCTGCTTTTTCCTTCTCAAGCAGGAGCCGGAGAGTGAGAGAAGCAGCAGGAGAAAAGGGAGGCACGCTTCTCTCCCTCTCTGGCGCCTGCTTGGAAAGAAAAAGGCAGCGATGGCAGGGAAAGGAGAGGAATATATTCCCCTTCCTTCCTTGCTATCGCTGCCTTTTCCTTCTCAAGCAGGAGCCGGAGAGGAAGAGAAGCAGCAGGAGCAAAGGGAGGCACGCTTCTCTCCCTCTCCAGCTCCTGCTTGGAAAGGAGAAGGCAGCGATGGTGGGGAAAGGAGAGGAATATATTCCCCTTCCTTCCTTGCTATCGCTGCCTTTTCCTTCCCAAGCAGGAGCCGGAGACAAAGAGAAGCCGCAGGAGAAAAGGGAGGCACACTTCTCTCCCTCTCTGGTTCCTGCTCGGAAAGGAGAAGGCAGCGATGGTGGGGAAAGGAGAGGAATATATTTTCCTTCCTTCCTTGCTATCGCTGCTTTTTCCTTCTCAAGCAGGAGCCGGAGAGTGAGAGAAGCAGCAGGAGAAAAGGGAGGCACGCTTCTCTCCCTCTCTGGCGCCTGCTTGGAAAGAAAAAGGCAGCGATGGCAGGGAAAGGAGAGGAATATATTCCCCTTCCTTCCTTGCTATCGCTGCCTTTTCCTTCTCAAGCAGGAGCCGGAGACAAATAGAAGCACCAGGAAAAAAGGGAGGCACGCTTCTCTCCCTCTCTGGTGTCTGCTTGGAAAGGAGAAGGCAGCGATGGCGGGGAAAGGTGGGAATATATTCCCCTTCCTTGCTTGCTATCGCTGCCTTTTCCTTCCCAAGTAGGAGCCAGAGAGGAAGAGAAGCAGCAGGAGCAAAGGGAGATATGAGGTATTACTGTGAGATATGGCAATACAGACGCAGAATGGATGGAGATGAGACTGTCTCCAACAAAAGATAACTGGTTTATTGAGAACAAAGCGTGTGGTTACAAGTTGTAACTTAATTTATAGAACTTTGAATAATACTTGGTTAGTTAAACATTTCACTCTTCCAGGTTACACAGTATCTCACTGAGGTGAAGCTCTTATTACTAAACAATGTTTCAGTACAGGAATATCTTCCCTATTTGATCTTTCCTTGATCAAATAAATTAACAAGCTTATCCTTTAGCCTTTCCCTTGACTAAAGAAAACTGGCTATGTTTCTCCTTTCAGCCTCCTAAGACTGAGAAACCTCCAGTAGCTATTCAGGCTTCCCAAAGCCACAATTCTTTGCTTCACACGTCACACTCCCACTCTACTCTTCACTTCCACTCTTTTACTCCTCTCAGATACAAAATCAACTCCTAACTGACTCTCAAACTGTCTGTTTTCAAAAACTCTCTCCACTTGGCTCCTCCCACTCCTCCTTCTGCCA